ACCATTTCAACGTCCTCCAGCTGCCCACCCAACAGCGCATCCCCCCGCCCTCCCGGCAACTTTCTCGCCTCCAGCTCCACCTGCGCACCCCGCCCTCCGGCAACTTCATTGTCCTCCCGCTCCACCCTGCGTCAAACCCGCCCTCCCGCAAAATCTCACGTCCTCCAGCTCCACCAGCGCACCAGCCCTCCGGCAAACGTCATTCGTTCCTCCCAGCTCACCAGCCGCAACCCAGCCCTCGGCAACCGCGGTCTCCATATCTCCACCACGCAACCCTGGCCCTCCGGCAACTTCACGTCTCCAGCTCCACCAGCGCACCCGCCACCTCGGGCAATCCCGTCTCCAGACGTCCCACGCAACCCGCCCCCTCCCACCAGCGACCAACGCCCCGCCCCTCCGCGACAAGGTCACGTTCCTCACACGCTCGCACCGCGCCCACTCCGGACCACTCCCGCTCCCCGGCACCCCCGCTCCTGCAACAATCGTCCTCCAGCCGTCCAACCAGCGGCAACAACCGCCCCTCCGGGCATACTATTCCGCCTCCAGCTCCACCAGCCAACCCGCCCCTCGGCAACTCGAACTGTCCTCCAGCGTCCTCAGCGACGCCGCCGCAATCATTCTCCGCCCCAGGCCCACCCCTCGGCGCGGAATCACTTCCTCCCCCACTCCACCAGCGCACCCCACCCCTTCCAGCAACGTCACGCTCCTCCAAGCTTCCACCAGCGCGCACCCCAGCCCCCTCCGGCAACTGTACGATGTCCTCCAGCTCCCCACCAGCGCAACCCGACCCTCGCAACGAGTCACGTCCTCGTTGCTACCACCCAGCGACAACCCGCACCCCTCCGGCTAGTCACGTCCTCCAGGCTCCACCGCAAGCGCACCCCGCACCCCTCCCGCAAACTCACGTCCTCCAAGCCCTCCACACAGCGCAGCACCCGCCCCTCTCCGGCAACACTTCACTTCCTCCAGCTCAACACCGGCTGCACCCTGGCCCGGCACAACTTCACGCTCCTCCAGCTCCACCAGCGCACCCCCCTCCGGCAACTTCTCGCTCCAGCTCCACCAGCGGCACCCCCCCCTCCGCGCAAGGGTCACGTCCTCCAGCCTCCACCAGCGCAACCGACCCCTCGGCAACTTCCAGTCCTCCAGACATCAGCGCAACCCCGCCCCTCGGCAACGTCACCGTCTCAGCTCCACCACGCGCGCCTCCCAATCGACATGTCGCCAGACCGCGCAACCCGCTCCGCAACTTCAGTCCTCCAGCTCCACCAGCAGCGCAACCCGCGCCCCTTCGGACAACTACCCTCTTTCGCTACCACCCGCCCCTCCCATTCAGCCTCCAGCTCCACCAGCGCACCCCGTCCCCCCACTCACGTCTCGGCCCTGCAAGGATCGGATCTTCACGTCCTCCTCACTCCACCAGCGCAAACCCGCACCTCCGGCATCACGTCCCTACCAGCTCCACCGCGCAACCCGCCCCTCGGCATCACTTCCTCCAGTATCCTGCGCCCTCCCCCCCTCCACCACGCAATCCGCGCTCCGGCACTTCACGTCCTCAGCTCCACACGCGACCCCGCCCCTCCGGCAACTCACTCTCCAGCTCCCCCCACCTCCACCACGTCCTCCGCACCAGCCACCGCCCCTCCGGCCCACTCCTCGCTCCACGAGTCAGCCCCTCACCAGCTCATCCCCAGCGTCCACCACACAACCGCCGCGCGCCTCTCACCGGGACCCCCACCCCTCCAACTTCACGTCCTCACAGCTCCACCAGCGGCAACCCCCCCGAAGCAGCACTTCACCCGCCATCCCAGCCACAGGCGCACCCCCCCCTCCGGCAACTGTGTACGTGCTCGTCCAGCTCCACCAGCGCACGCCGACCCTCTCGGCAACGTACACGTCCTCCAGCCGTTCCACCAGGCGCCAACCCGCCCCTCGGCAACTTCACGTCCTCCAGCCTCCACCAGCGCACCCCGCCCCTCCGGCAACCGTCACGTCCTTCACAAGTCTCCACCCGCGAACCCCGCACCCTCCGGCAAACTTTCACTTCCTCCACTCACCAGCGCACCCCCCCTCCGGCAAACGTACATCGTTCCTCCAGCTCACCTGCGCAACCGCCCCCTCGGCACTTTTCACTGTCCTCATGCTCACAGCGCAACCCGCCCCTCCGGCGCAAACGTCACGTCCTTCCAGCTCTTCACCAGCGCAACCCGCCCCTCCGGCAACTCACGTTTCCTCCAGCTCACAGCGCACCCGCACCCGGCCCACCCTCCAGCTCCCCACGCCGCCGCAACTTCACTGTCCTCCGCCCACTGCGCAACCCGCCCCCCCGCCCCTCCACACCTCACAGCATGAACCCTCCGCCCACGGATCAGCCACGGCCCAACACACCACTCCCAGCCTTCCTCTCCCCTCTCTCTCTAACTCTCTCTAGCTGTCTCCCCCGTCCCACTCCGCTCCGCCGCAAAGGTTAAAGCGACAAGGCCGTTAAAGCGGACTGTTTGCAGCCGCTGTCCACGGAATTTGGAAAATGTTTGTTCGCGCTTTTTTCATATCGATAAAATGCCGCTCTCAGGATGAACTCGTAAAATGGGATGCATTCCTTCGTAAAATGAGGTCGTTTGCCATTGGCCTTTCAAATGATTTCTTTGACTGTCGTCGTTTCTATGGCAAAAAACTCCACAATAATCCGATTCTTAGTCAACTCGGGGTCCGGGTTAACTGAAGCAGTCAACAAAAAAAGTATAAGTACTATTGGGCTGCAGTAGTAAAAACACTGCAGAATAAAACTATACATAATGGTTTTTCCAAAAAGTATCTTGCGCTCTGCTCAAGATCAATAAATAAAATTCTATCGTATAACACAGCAACAAATTTAAATATTATAACAAAAACAGACTTCACGAATAATGCAATTACATATACATTCAGGGCAATAGTTCAATACACAGCTAGCATATTAAAAAAATGCTACTACTTAATACAGCACCAGAAAAGCAAATATTAATGGCGAGGGTCCTCTTTCTTAAAGACTTGCAGTCCAATGCAGCTTTGTTGTAGGCAGCGACGCACTCAGTATTATAATACAGTCGTTGTAATGCTTCGTTTACACTTCATTCATGAGGGTGCATATAAAAGCAAAATACGCCGTTTTAAAAGAGTGAACGAGATTTATAAATATCAAAAGGGAGGTTCTGGATTAGCCATTAGAAAGTGATGGTGGAGCTTTAATAATAATAATAATAATAATAATAATAATAATAATAGTAATAATAATAATAATAATAATAATAATAATAATGCCTTTATTAATGGCGAGGCTGAGGCCATAGGGCCTGCTCTTCCGCCTAACCACTGAATTTACATACATTTAGAATAGTAAAATTTTAAGAGGGGAGGACAAGCTGTACATTGACGTCTCGGAGAACAAATCTAGGGACCATCGCGGCATACGCCTTAAGCGATTGAGTAAACCCAAAAAAACTCAATCACGATGGCGGCTTAGGGCCGAACATTCATAGAACTTTACATTTCCGGAAGTTGTAAAATCGTAGGCTTACGCGGGCAGTCATGGCAAACAACGTTGCTGTCCGAGTGACGTCGCGACAAAGACTGTGGTGTTGACGATTTGTCTTGTCCTAGTCTTCCTCCCGACTGGACGCAAAGAGCTGGTCTGATCAGCCCTGAGGGAGTCCACGACAAGATGGTCCTAACGTAGCCGCCATAATTTTCGACGCGGCGTCACCCAAGATCATTTCCGGAAGCAAGCAAGAGCGTGTGCTGTTCTCTTCACTAATAAAAAGATAATTTTTTTCGGGACGTTCCCGAATTTTGACGCTGTGTCAAGCTTTTAAAAGATTCGTTGGTATACTTATCTTCAATTATACAGATATGTTTACCCTGCATTACCCTAATATTTATTTCGTGAGTTAATATATTTTATTTCATAGAAGTAAAGTTGTGCGATAATTTTTGACAAAGATATTTGTCTGTTGCGTTCTAATCTAAAATGTGTCTTGTTCTTCATCAATAACGGTATTTTCCACGAATGAATTCAAAGAGAAGCAAGTTTTCTTTCATTGAAGAACTACAAAAAGAGTGCCCATTCACCACTCATTTCAGTACTTCGCCTCCAGCACTCGGGTCTATGCAGAAAAAGTGATGTCCAACAAGATATGTGCAAGTACTTCTTAAGTGAGTCAGAGCGTTGTTAATTAAGAAATGACACGTCAAAGATCAGCAGTAACAGTAGCATATAGATCAACGTCAACAGTATTCTTGAAATCCAAGAATTTTAGTAGGAAGAAAGACATGCCAGTTGCAATTGAGGCACTTTCTGCATTTAATAGAACTCAATATAATCATTGAGCTTTTTATTACTCCAATATTTTAATGAGTCCAAACATCAGGTGTAAATACGGCCACCACTCCACCATTGCTTCGTTTTGGGTGGCCTTGGCCTTAGTTGAGACTGCCCCTTATCTCAAAAGGGAAATTCAGCTGTCCGCGAGAGCGTGCTGGGGCAAAGGTCACGATACAGAGGTTTTGAGGCACGGAAAGTCTTAAAGCAATGTTATTCACGGCCAATACCTCACATATCTAATTGGAAGGTGAAATGAACGTATAATTGAGCGTAATAATCTCCATAATTAAAATTCGTCTGCATCTGTTAAATACAACAAATAAATAGAAATAATGTGCCTGTGATTTCAAAATTAATGTTTTTTAAATGTCATTTGCTTATTTAAGTGATAAAGAAACCATTTTTACTATTTGTCTGTCAGGGGGTTTTCCTGTTTGGAACGGCAGAACTGATTACCATGGGGTTTTGGCAGAAAGATTTAACTAGTTTACATGTTCAATTATTTTTTCCATTTTCTATTATATAAAGAACAATGTTTACTTGCTCGTTTTTCTATGCAAATCAATATTTTTCATCTGATCTTAATGAAAGTTTGTACAAATGACCATATAAAAAAATTGTGTTCTGCGTAATATACTCGTAACATAAAATTATCATCTTTCTTCCCTATTCCCTACAGCAAAATTTAAATGTGCACTCTTTCATGTTTTTCTTTCGAGAATACCTCAAAAACAGTCACTGGATAAGATGTCTCAGGGCATCAATTAATGTCGCTGCAGTGCCCCTTACCGGGAAGTCCTAGGTTTGAGTCCCGACTGTGGTAGGATTTTCGACATTAGCTGCATAGTTAGCGCAGGAACTGCAGTTAGTGCCTTCCCGGAAAAGCTCTAAGCATGTAGTGCATGTAACTGTGTAAGTAAAGGGTGAGGACAAGACAAGGATGAGGAAGGAAAGATCGCGCGAGGTGCGTGGCCTGTTTGTTGGGGTACGGAATTCGCCTAGTATTGATTTGAGATCCCATGGGAAATTACCAATGAAAGCAGCAGGCCGGTAAAATTTTCTTTCAGGCAAGAGAGAATTCGTATCAGCTCTCTAAGTAGTATCGAAAATCCGGTACCGTCAGGAGTCAAACACTAGGACCTGCCGAACGATACACATAGGAAATGATGTTGCCGCTAGGCCATCGTTGCAGAATTTGTGTAAGAACGTGGCTTAAGTCCCAAGGCATTGAAAAGACTGGAAAGCGCAAGAAATTGCTTTATTTGGAACAACCCACATTTTTGAAGAGGCACCGACAGTCACAAGATCTGTTTCTTAGGTAGCTGGTTGCAATGGTTGGAGTATTCAGACGAATCATAAATTCTTAGTCGTGATGCAGCGAAAATATTATTATTATTATTATTATTATTATTATTATTATTATTATTATTATTATTATTATTATTATAAAGTCGGCCACGTGGCTCCCTAGTTGATACAGCCGTCGTCTGCGCCAAGAAGGCTGCAGGTTCGAGTCCTGCGTAGACATGGTCGTATTTGTGTTTGTCCCTTCACCCCTCATCAAGACATCATCCTATCATCTCATAATTCACACTTCAAGGCCTAACAACCTTGTCGTATTGAGCGATACAGCTGAAAAGCTGATCCTGAAAGAATTACGTACACGTTACTCGTGTAGCGTGGTCAGTAATGCCAACACGACTATAATAATAATAATAATAATAATAATAATAATAATAATAATAATAATAATAATAATAATAATATTGAGTATGATAGTAATAACAATAATCATTTTAATTACCTTTCTGCTAGACGGTGAGGAGAGATGTTCGGGCCGAGTCACTGCAGCTGTTCCACGCACCAGGCAAAGCTGGCTCACGAACAGATGTCACGCGGCAGATGGCGTTCAGCAATTCGACGATAATATAACTGTAAATTGAATTCGCGTCGACATCCAGCCAGAATGACAATAATAATGTGTGATGCAGAACTGATAATGGTGTGGTCCGCGAAAAATAGATGTGGAAAACGTTCTATGTACCTCGAATAACAAAGATAGGGAGGGGCGATGACTTCGAAAATGGCGACAGGGGAGAAAGAAATATAGGAGAAAAATAAAATTTCGCCAATAACTATGATAACTAGAGAGACGGTTACAGCGGGAGTGACGATAACAAGTGACGACGCATGTGAGTGATTAGTGAGCGAGAGAGACTATATCAAGACGATAACTTTCACGATGACGAAGTCGAGATCATGGCAGTGGGTCACAGCCCGATAGCGGTGCGTCTTTTATGCCGATGGTAGCAAAATAAAGACGACGCGGCGCGCACCGCAGCAGTCAAACGATCCCAAACGCGCGAAGCCACCTCAGCAAGTTTTGACGAGAGTGAGAAAGACGATGCCGGTAAGAATGACGACGATGGATAAAACAAAAGTGGAAGTTGTTGATACATTGAACGACAACATTGACGATGGCAGCACAAGAGACAACGGTAGTAAGAATGACGATGATAGCGACAGAAGATGGCGCTTAGAATATGGACGCCAGGAAGACGATGGCAACGTCGATGAGATTGAAAAAGACGATGGTGAGAACTTCGATGAAACGTTCAACAAAGATACGTCCAACATCTATGAAAGCAAGAAAGACAATGATGGGGATGAGGATACCTCCAGTGAAGATGGCTAGAGACAATCCTGTAAATCCTGTGAAAGAGAAAGCCGGTGATAGTATCACCTGAAATGATAAAGGCAAGAGAAAATGGCAGTGAGAAAGACGACGCCCGAAAGAAGCTCAATGACGTTGGTGTTCCTCTAGTGACGACGGCTAAAAATCACGAAAAAAAGCCGATGTTCCAGAACGATCATGGTGCCTCCAGTAAGAAGGTCTGGAGACCACATCATAGAGAGAAATCCGATGATGGTGTCTCCTGTAATGATAATGGGGATGATGGTGATGGGAAACTGATAGTGAGAATGGCGGTGCCTGGCAATATTCAATGGAGATGATGTGGCCGATGGAAAGAGACGATTACCAAGACAAAGACGATGATAGTGAGAAGGCAAATAATGACGATGGCGAGAGAACAAGGTAGCGAGACAGAAGGCGCCCGAAAGACATTCATTGACGCCTCAAGTGACGATGGCTAGAAACCATCTTAAAAAGCAAGCGGGCGATAGTATCTCCAGTAATGACGACGGCGAGAGACAAAAGTAGTGAGAAAGACGGCATCCGAAGGATCCAAAGACGATGATGGTGACGATGGCAAGAGACGACGATCAAGAACAAGTGGACTATAGAACCTCCAGTAATGACGATGATACCTGTCGACGAGAGGATGGCGATGATGGTGCCGATGGCAAGAGACGATGATGGAGAGCAGTCCGACGATACTACCTCCAATAATGACGATGACGAGAGAAAATGGTAGTGAGAGTGACGACGTTGAATGGCGAAGATAGGGATGATGACAAGAGATGACTATCAAGAGCAAGCCGAGGATAGTACCTCCAGCAACGACGATGACGATTGACGACGTGAGAGTGGCGTCGTTGAATGGCGATGCTGGAGCGCAAGCGGGCGACGTACCTCGAGCGTGGACGTCGGGCGGCGTGGAGCAGCGCGCGCGGCGTCGTGCGGCGCAGGGCTGAGTAACGATCGGCGAACGCGGCGCGGCGACGGCGCGGCGCGCGGGGCCGCTGCGGCGAACGGCGGCGAACGCTCGCGAAGCGACACCCGAGCGCTCGTGGCGCGCCGTGCGGCGGCGCAGGCGAACACCGAGGGGGGGGGGGCGAGGCGAGCGTTCGCCGTGGACGAGGGCGCAGGCGCGTGGACGCAGCGAGCAGCGAAGCGAAGCGAGGCACGGCGAGGCGAGGCGAGCACAGGACGGCACAGTGGGCGGGCAGGCCATTGCGAAGAAGGCGCTGGGCCCAAGGGGACTGGCTGAAACTCTCTTGGTCACGTGGCTAACGTTCCACAGTCGTAAGGAACAACATGCAGATTGCCACATTGCATTACTGACACTTTGCGTTATTGACACTTTGCGTTATTGACACGCTGCGTTATTGACACGCTGCGTTATTGACACGCTGCGTTATTGACACGCTGCGTTATTGACACTTTGCGTTATTGACACGTTGCGTTATTGACACGTTGCGTTATTGAAACATTGAGTTACTGTTACGCCTCCATTGTTATGCAGCTAAAAATGAATTGAGGAGCTAATGACGAAGTGTAAGATCGGTGTATTGGTAGACTGATTGGTGATTCCAGGCGCTTCAACTGCTAAGGTCATTTCCCTCGTAACAGTAATGCATGTCTTAGTCGCGGGACGTGGCAGTAATCTTCCTGCGCTGTATGTGGGATCCGGTGTCGACCTAACGTTGGCTAGCGGGGTTGTCCCTTATCTATGTATCTCCCACCAGAAGGACACCGCCCCACATGGGACAAGCTGTAACCTCCCAATAGGTCTCCTGACGTTGTGGATGGATGGATGGATAGTGTAGTGGATGTTAGTATAAGTGTGTGTAACTAAGCATGGGGACAAGGAAGGGGAAGGAAAGATCGCGCGCGGTCCGTGGCCCGTTTGATATGGTACTGCTCCGGCATTCGCCTGGTGTTGATCGTAGAAACCCCGAAAAACGTACGAAAATTCGGCCCTACCCAGTCCATTCAGCCCTAGCGACTGAATTGAACCTAGCTACGCAGCTAATGTCGAAAATCCTGCTAATGTCGCGTCGGGAGTGCAACCCTAGCACCTCCCGATTAGAGGCACTGCAGTGGCATCAGCTGATGCCCTGAGGCACCCAAGCCTGTGGTTGGAGCCTGTGGAGTGCGGGCGTGGCGTCGGGAGAGGCGTTTCTTACGGTAGGGTGTTGGGGTTTGTGAGGCGTTGGGGACCTCATGGGGCGAGGGAGCGAAAGGGACTGTAGAGGGCGTGGGAGGGCGCGGGAGTGCGGATAAGGGGTGAGGGTCAGCAAGGAGTGTGGGTTTAAGGGGAACCCCCCCCTTGTAGGGGGTGTGGGGCATGAGCGGGGTAGAGGGAGGTTTGATGGCTTGGTAGAGGGCGTGCGGCGAGCGTTCGCTGGGGGGGGGGTCGTATGGCGGTGGCGGCCGAAGGCGATGCGAAGCCGACGAGACAACACAGTGGATGGGCGCTGTAACACACTGCTCGAATATTCCTCGTGCACAACCCCAAGAACATCTTCAATTCGGCGAATGTTTTGTGTGGCTGCTGCTGTTGCTTTTTGTGCTTTCAGCCCTTACTTCGTGAGAAGACAAAGTCTTGTATCGTGCTCCGGAAATCGGTGAGTTTTCGACACAAAACTCTTATTGTTGGCCCTGGTACCGAAAAAGTGGATAAATCTTGTCTCTATATATACCAAATTACTTCCTTAAAAGCGTTGTGTAGTGAGAATCCATGTTTTGTGGGTCTTGGATACCAAACATCGATTGACGGCAAAACGTCTTTCACACCGCCTGTGATCAACCATAGCGTCGAAACCGTTCAAACGATTTTGGAAAAATTTATATTCTTCGATTGATTTCAATGAACTCGAGGTCTTCGGAGATTGAAATGCATATTTTGATTTTGGGGGAACTTTATATAAAACCTCAATATATTCACAATTTCGTCAAAAGTCGCTCGATTTTTTTTAAAAACTTTGTTGTCAAAATGGAAGAGAGGGTGTGGGAGACTGAGTGGAAGAGGTAGACAGAGAGGGGAAGAGAGACAGGTAGAGTGGAAGAGAGAGACAGAGAGGGAGAGGGCGAAGCGGTAGAGACACATTGAGGGAGAGGGAGAGACTGAGATAGAGAGAGATGGAGATAGAGGCAGTATAGAGAAGGACACATACAGAGATAGAGAGGGAGAGAGAGAGCAACTTAGATGAAGTGGAAGAGGAGAGAGAGAAACAATGAGAGTGGGTGAGAGGGAGATAGAGGGCAGAGAGAGAGAGAAAGAGAGAGAGTCAGACAGAGATAGTGGAGACAGAACTGAGAGACAAGAAAGTGGTTAGACATAGAGAGTGGTTGAGAGGGAAATACTTGTAGACAGAGGGCAGAGAAAGAGTCAGACATAGAGAGACAGGTAGACAGAGAGAGATAGACAAAGATACAGAGGGATATAGATACAGACAGAGAAAGAGAGAGAGAGAGAGATGGAGAGAGAGAGAGAGAGGTGAGTCTGGGCGAATGGAATCCAAAACTTCTTCTGTGCTGGCTGGCCACTACCAGCAACTACGCCCCCAACAACTCAACGTGGCGCCACCGACGGGCGTTTGCATGCAGAAAATTTGTGTTTGTGCTTCGCAAGTTGTGTGGGCGTATTTGGCGCTTTCGTTGCAGTGTCCGACTTTACCCGCCAGCTGCCGGTGCCCCCCGTGCCAGGGCCTAGTTTAATTCCCACGCCGGTAGGTAAGAGCGACATGTGGCGAACAAAACGTGTTCCCTTCGCCGTAACTAGCAACACCCACCAGCCTGAGCTTGCACACTGCTACAGAAACTGTGGCGGTTTTAAGGAACGCTACAACTCTATTTTTACCCAGACCGGGAGTCGATGCCAGGATCGCGTCACGCGAAGCTAGTATGAGCCACCCTGGGGCTGCTTCACAGATAATAGTGATTCTATTCTTTCACAATTTGTAAACTCACTCATTAATCATTTCATTAGTCTTGGAGAGTACGTTATGACCGTCATAAAACCAAATTCTGAGGCTTTTGATTATACATGCATGTGTGTTCCTTATCTGTTGTAACGTTTCTACTGTTCTTCATTTTGTGCGGTGTAAACTCAGGGTTTCAGTTCGTTCCTAAGTGTATCAGAAGATGGGAAAGAATTAATTCGCAAAACGTTCTTGTAATGAAAAAATACATAATTATAATTAAGATGTGATATGAAAAATCTGTAATATGTAATATTAAAGATGTTATATTAAAAATTTAATAATATGTAAGATGAAATATTAAAGAGAAAGTCATTATTAGTAAATCAGAATTTATTTCATCTGCATCCTACCTTCTATTTTCCTACCTTCCTTTATTTGTGTTTACGAACCCAAATTAATCTTCATATTAGTAAAGATTAATTGCCCAGAAAACAAACGAACAAGATTATTTAACTGTTGTGTGATTACAAATACGAGTTAGACTTTTACTTTCTCGCATACTGCATGCGTAGAATAGAGAAAATTATGTAATTCTGCAGCGGAAATCGAGATATTTTGGCAGACAAGTTCATAGTGTAGATCCCTGATACCGAAAAAGTAGATCATTGTTGCATCTATATGTAGTAAATTACTCCGTCTATCAGGGAAGATGCTACGGAAATCGGACACGGTGGTGTCCACGGAAGCCACTTTCTCCATTACCGAAAGGGTTAAACTCAAACCTGACCTGTTAATAAAAAGCCAGGAAGGGGTCCATGTGATCGATGTGACTGTCCACCACGAGGATGGGTCTAGCCTTCTGACAGCAGGGGAGGAAAAGGTGGTAAAATACCAACCAGTGGTCCCCCTGGCAGCCCAACTTCATGGAGTATCCAACGCTAGAATCCTGCCAGTGGTGGTTATTAGAAAACCAACTAGTGCGACAAAGTCTGTGCCATTCAGTAGCACTACTAATTTATTTTACGTATTTACAGGTTTCAATGAACAATACATATATTTTCTTCTAAAGAATTTCATTGTTTAAAAAAACTATTTGATTAATTTTAATAAGATTCTTCCAAAGTATTGCATTTTTGCCATCCGTATCTTCATTTCTTTCTTAGAAATCTTGTAAAACCTCTTCCAACTTTCCTTGACACCAGAGTAAAATTACGCAGACATTTTCCCGGTGTTGTTTCCTTGATATTGCGTCGTCGGCAGAAAGCAAATTTGCATCCTGGCCGTCGCACCTGGGGGAAGTAGGATGTGTAATGGCATGGGCAGCGCAAGGTTACTGTGCCACGTCACTTGACGTAGATCAGGGACGGAAAACCGACATGTCTGAAGCCTTACTACGCGGTCGTTTTCTGGGAGTGGCAACGATACTTCGTTGAAGTTTCATTGGAAAGCCTGCACCTATTATTTTTCAATGCAACGGTACACAGATTCCGAAAATTTGTTTTCATTCACAGGTTCGGGTTCAGGTGAAAAAATAAACCATCTTCTTCTCCTCAATTGGAAGGGCAAAAAGTATCCTTTATCATTTTGTTGAAAAAAATTGTTACTGCACAAGAGTTTCTTGACGATTTCTCTCCTATAACGTCCAAAAACTAAATATAAGGGCTCAAGATATTTTTAAGTGTTGCTGAAAAAATCGATTTCAAATAGTTGCAAACGACGAAAAACGCAATTTGTGAATTGACAGAAATGTATTTCTTCAGCTCTACATTGCGCGCGTTCCTGCAATGGTGTCCGACCTCATCAGCTGGCCCTCGGTGCTACTGAGCACTCGCTGTTCGCAAATGACTTCGAGTCTACAACATTACTTCGAGATTTAGAAATGCGCCAACAGTTCCACTGGCTTACAACTGCGTTGATATTAGAAAATTACAAAGCTCTTTCTTTTGGAATCTATTGGGAAAGTAAGAAAAACTATTTTATTTTAAGTGCACTTTTTAAGACAAACAAAATGAATGGGAAAACATCATCCAAATAAAACACTCGGCAGCAGTACAACTGGATAATTTCACAATTTTACATTGTTTTTATTGAAAAATTTCGGGAATTATTTCTCCACATTTTCAGGTAATATAAATAAAAGAGGTAATACAAAATAATATAACAATGTGCTCTAAATTTATGATGACTTGTCAACCAACACTATACCACGGCATGTTTCTAACAATACCAGGATTATTTGGTTTTTCTGTATTTTTATTTTCTTGTAATAGGGTAGTTAACCAAATAGCAAACAATAATTTTGAAGAAGACACTATTGGCGCTAAAATAGCACGAACTTTTTCGCACATACGTTCACGCTAAATTACGCAAAAAGTACTCATATTTTCGAAAAATTGTATTTGAC